CGTTTCGAAAATCTATTGTTACTCCGTAACTATTGAAAATCGACCAAAAGTTTGTAACGAAATTTTGCAGGAAGTAACCCCAGGAATATGTACCATAAGCCGGGTAAAACTTCGTGAATCACCCTGTATGTATGAAGGTGAACGTAACAAATTTGTATAGATCTGGTGGTACGTCGGTAAGACATCGGCGTACTATTGGGAAGCTACCGGGTTCGAGACCACGGTGTCTTTTGTCAAGTGAAATTGAAAAGTGAATGAATACGATTTTCTGCAGCCATAAACCAAGTCGTAGAATATGAGGAGGATCGTAGAAAGCTGTAGCATAGATGTTCTGGTGGTCTAGAGGTTAGGCACCGGCGTTGTAAATATAAGGTTCGTGGTTCGAAAACAGTAGTATTTTTGTAATGAGATTTTTCTGGAATTATATAGCGAGATGTAACATAAGAGGAAGATTTAATGTCAAAAATTTCCGTCGCATCGGTGGCCTATGGGTAGGACACTGGCGTAATGTGCAGGAGTTCCGAGGTTCGGAACTAACGAAAGTTTTATAAAATACAAATGCAGTTAGTAAGATTTTTCTATAGTTATAACAAAAGATGTAACATAGAGGAAGATTAAAGAAACATAATTTCAATGGTGCTGGTGGTCTAGGAGTAAGACATCAGCTTAGTGTTCAGAAGGTCCCTGGTTCAAAACCAGTAGGATTTTTGTGAAAAAGAAAATGGAAAGAAGTTAGGAGACAGGGTAAAGGAGGATGGAGGGACCGGAGTGAGGGAAGATTTTTTTGCGGCCGCTCATTAAGACAGTCGCCTAAGCGGGTTTTATTAAACTCCACATGGGATTAAAAAAAAATTCGGCCCAACTCCGCCCACCAACCACCCGCCCTTAGGGGGTGACTTGAACTTATTCATTTGAGACCAAGTTCTACGAGTGAGATTTAACAAGAGAATGTATAATAAGTATAGCGCCATCTGTTGAACATTACAACAACATCTGTTCAACAGATGGCGCTGCAGTTTTATTTCATATTTTCTTAACGCTCACTGATTTAGTTTGGTCTCAAGTTAACTTTCTGCGTGACGCCAAGAGCGGTCGTGGGTACGGTCCCACGCTTCGCAATCTGTGGAGTAGTGTTCAACAGATGGCGCTATATTTTTGATTCATATTTTTTGTTAACTCGAGCTGAATTAGCTTGGTCTCAAGTAATTATAGCCGAGTGACCCCTAAGGGTGGGTGGTTGGGGACGGAGGTGGGCCTAAGTATCCATAATCCCTTGTGGACTTTAATAAAAGCATATACCTGGGTAGGAGTGTGTTCTAACAAGCGGCCGCAAAAATCTTCCCTCCCCCCGGTCCCTCCTTCTTGGGGGTAAAGGGCTGGCCGCCATGTAAGACTGACAACCTTGCCACCATCTATGAGCCTATTGTCTAGAAAATGTGGACCCTCAACATTTCACAACCCTATAGGCCTCCACGGCGTTTTACAGGGATGGCTTTACTTACTTTACTTCTACTTTGTATGCAGGAAAACCAGTAGTTCACAGGAAGCCTTGTTTAATTATCCAGAATAAGAGAATCTGGTAATCTTTGAGTGTTTGGGAGATCATGGTTGATTGTGGAATAAGCAAGTTCGGAAATGTACCCATAAGACCTCTTAATTGCCTTAAACCATAAAACTTATGAAAAAAGTGTACTGGACATAGAACTGGAATGTGTTGGCACAGCTTATTATAAATTCCCAATATCACTTCACGAAAGTCTGTTGTTTCATGTGTACAAATGGATATGATGAACTTAATATGCATGTTACTGGGTGGTGACACAATATTAGAGCTGCAGAACGAATTTGAGACTGATCTTGCACTTTGAGAAGTTAGCAGGCTTCCACTGATACAAGTCTATGTCCACATCTAGCAGCTTCAAGAATTGTATTTGAATTATCTTGTATATTTAATGAAAAAGGGCCAGAGTTCACTAACACTCTTTGCGAAAAATGTTCCATTGCTTTTTATATAGTTGTTTAACCTAAGTATCTTTGAAAAACATACTAACCCTATAATAATATCGTATATAGACCTGTCGCTAAGCAGTGACACTGTAATAGCGATTGTTTCTGGGCAACGGCTTAGTAAACACGCTCCCCTGCCCATGAATGTGCATGCAACAATAGTTACTGTTGGAAATGGAGGGGGTTTCTATGTGGTCCATGCTGAGATGTTATAACCAGGATAGTTGGAGCAATGAGTTCAGTTCTGAGTGGTATGAACTAGTGAGCAATGGCTTAGTAAACACATTCATTCCCCTGCCCACGAATGTGCATGCAACAATAGTTACTGCTGGAAATGGAGGGGGTTTCTATGTGGTCCATGCTGAGATGTTATAACCAGGATAGTTGGAGCAATGAGTTCAGTTCTGAGTAGTATGCACCACTGGGCATGGCAAGAGCACAGAAGCTGAACAATTTCCCTTATTGAGAGCTGTTACCTAGAAATGTCTAGAGAGTTCTGCATGGGAGACTGTAGATCCTGAGTGCGTGAAGCTGAAGAATCTCCACTGTTAGAAGCCGTTGCCAGGGAATGGCTGGTGAAGACAGCAGGCTGGAAAAAGGCTTAGCAGGTGCTGTTAAAGTGTAGATCAGTGATAGCACTTTGACTGTTTGTAGTTCCAAGTTGTGTGTATAAGTGGTCAATAAACCCATTCACCAATGCAAACCCCATCTATAGTCTCACACATACTACTTGACAGTTGGTGTCAGAAGTGGGATTGGGTTATACTGCCACACCACGAAGATGAAACAAATGATGAACCAGTAAGCCAAAATAAGGTCTAAAACAGAAGCAATTCAAGAAAAGATGGGCAAGAGGAGATGAAAGCCCAAGTGCGTTCCCTTACCTCCCAGACTGATGCCAGCAAAGAACGGATGATAGCCCAGATGATGGCTTGCCAAGAAGTGACAGAGGCTATCTGGAGAGTAAGCAGCCATCCTCATTGGAGACAGAGTCCTATAGAAGAGGCCACAGTGCAAACCTTTGGAGCACTGAATGAGCAGTAAAGGGACAGGCATCTAGCCATAAGGCTCTGCAGTCAGCCGAAGAAACAGACTCGGGGCAATGGTGGGTCCCAGAAGTAGTTTTCCACTACCCGAGGGCAACTGACCTGCTGTGTCATCCCTGCACAGTGTAAGGGACATTATTGTCAGTGATGAGGCAAGGACAAGGTTGTACCAAGAACCCCTAAAGGATGGACGCTTGAAAGGAGACAACAGTTGCACCTGGAATGCAACACTGGCATAAGGAACATAGGCGCAAGGTGGCAACTACATCTCAGGAAGGAATGGAGGTCTGACAATGTATCAAACAGTGAAGCAGGAGACAGGAGCTATGTCCAGGAAATGCGAAGACATTAAATGAGGTCCTCAGACAAACTCTCAAGTTGGAGGTCGTGAAGCAGTCAGGATTTCCATTGGGTTGCGGACAGTGACTGACTTTGTGGAGAGGTTGGCCCAGTTCAGAAATGGAAGAAGAGCAAGAGATGTAAGAGCATTGACCACTCTCAAAACTTCTGCCCACACTAACTGGAGGAAGATGCAGATATACTTCCAACAAATGGCACCCTATGTGGGAGCTGCTTGGGTCAAGCAGCTTTGAGGAGGGAGCAGTGAGAGCAGGTGGAGAGTAAACCGTGAAAACCGAGCCTCAGCGAGGAAGGTGAAACTGATCAGACATAACAAGCACAGCTCTCAGAAAGAAATGGTGGTACGCCTGTAGGTCATTTGGGCCGAACAGCCTTAAGGAGGGAGCGATGTGGTGTATATTACATGTTGCTAAGCAGTAATTGTAACGACCACACTTCTGTGCAACAGCTCAGTAAGCATGTTCCTGCGGCAACGAATATGCACAGAACAATAGTTACTGTTGGAAAAGGGGGGTTTTTCTATGTGGTCTGTGTTGAGATGTTATAAAACCAAGACAGCTGGAGCAATGAAGCTGAAGAATCACCATTGTTAGAGCTGTAACCAAGCAGTGACTAGGGAGTTCTGCATGGGAGGCTGTGAAGACAGAACCTGTGGGTGTGAAGCTGAAGAATCTCCATTGATAGAAGTCATTACTAGGGAATGGCTGGTGAAGACAGCAGGCTAGAAAAGGACTTAACAGGTGCTGTGGTAATTTCTAAAGGGTTGTAGATCAGTGGTGGTGCTGTAACTGCTTGTAGTCTGATGTCGTGTATATTGTATGTATGTATGTATTTATTATGAGAGGGGGTGGGTTTCCCCATGCACTTAGACCAGTTATTGGTCCACTGTGCGTTCCCCTTTTAATTTCTACTGTTGCCATACCCTACCAGTAACAGTGCGTGCCATCAGCCCCCGTAGAGCCAACGAGGTCTGCCCCCGGTACCCTGATGCTTCCTCCATCCACCAGAGGCATTGGAGACTACTTGGGCAGGAAAGGGCCTGTCATTTAGCTCAGAGGCCTCCTAGGGGCATGAGGTTGTTCTACATGCTGTAAATCTATGACACGGGACACACGGCTTAAAGTCCCTCCCGGAGGACTTGTTCCCTGAATTTTTCCGCCCTTAAAAATTCCACAACCTCCACCGGGTTTGAACCCGCGTACCTTGAGTCATGAGGTGGAAACGTTACCCCTAGATTACGGAGGCCGCTTGTCGTGTGTATTAGTAGTTAACAAATCCAAGCCCCATCTACAGTCATACACATACTGTGTGACGACAATAATAATGATAATAATAATCACATCTGTTCTAGATCTAGTCTGGTATCTAGACGGGAAATACAGTTTCAATGCAATCATTACATTATTACGGCATAAACGAACCAAAGACACCAAGTCCAGAATTGTCTTGAGACCTTCATGATAAAGCTAGACAAATTTTATGTGCATCTCAGTGTATGGTATATCCCAATCAATCCCGTTTAGTAACTCTTAACAATATTAGGTGGAGTAAATTATGAAGTCATTTTATGGATATCATACATAACTCTTGCATTTACTTTTCTCTTTATTAAACCCGATGTTACAACTGGGAAAATGTTATTATCAAATTCTGGCAAAATTATATGCCATTACAACAGCTCACTTTTCTACTAAATAAGCACTACTACAGGGGTGGGGGGGAGTGCCACTTCTGTAAGCAGTGTGCCTCTCTGCTTGTAACCTCTGATTGGCGATAATGAAGCAAGCATTATGCACTGTTAAAACTATGAACATTTATTCAAACTACATTGAAGTGTTTGATCAAACTGAGTACTGTTGGAGGATGCAGATTTTAAACATAGGCATCCTGCAACAATCTGTAACCATTCAAATACTGAAGCTGAATACAGTTCTTAAAATTATCAATATATAAATCTATTTTGATTTCCAACAAAAAGATTTTCTGAACACCACTTCATTCATTCTCACTTGTATAATATACTGAGTTTACAAATCCAAAAGTATGTTGACATTTGTTTGCATTATATAATAGTCTCACATTGTCCATTCAGTGACATGTTCGGGAATAGCCAGCAAAAATACTAAGGTAAAAAATTCTGCTGTGGTTTAACCCTTTAAAGCCTCGTGATTATGTATAACCTGCTTTCAGATACAAAAACCATATTTTTATGCAGAGTGTAGTTCATATGATTCTCACAATAAAGAGCTGTTACTTTCCTCAATTGCATTAACTGTTTGGTCTCTGTAGCAGAGATAATTTGTGTTACCAGAGGTAGGAACTGAAGTTTTAAATATTATTTAGCCAAATTTTGGCTTTTAAAGGGTCAAGGACATCATAACAAAAAAAAAAATTCTCAAATGCTTGATGTCAAATCATAAATTGCAGATATACAAACATACTGTTACAAATTCTGTGAATTTACATGCTGAAACTGAAATTTCCTATACAAACGCAATTCTAATATTTTCACAAGTTTCTTCTCTCGTTAATTGAAATATGTTAGGATCCTTAATATTTTTTATGAAATAATTTAAAAATGAGTCTTTTAGGACTGTATCTTATATTTTGTGGTCTTCCCTTCTTACCATACTTCAAGACACTTAGAAGAATTAACCTAACATTTTCAAACAGTGAAACAGGACCTATTGTGTTGAGTGGTTTATGTAGAATATATGAAAAATGACTGAGAAATCAGTCAATAAAGATCCTAATATAACACACACAAAAAAAAATACACAATTATATTTTCCAGAAGAAAATACCCCCTTCATAACACACCTATCACATTACAATACATGAGACGGGTAGGTAAGAGTTCAGGGTCTGAAGTACATATACAATTAAACACTCAAGATCCTTTCAATGGCCGAGAACTGTGCACCCAGCCATTAATTACATTTGTTCTGCCTTCCACTGGACAATGAAAGATGTATAAATTCATCAATATCTGGCATCTATATTCTTCAATCTGTAAGAAATGTATAACCATTCTGCAAAGCTCTGAACTACTAACTGGGAACAGAATTTAAATTAATGTGTTACAAAGTTAAAAAATATGTTCCATAATTGCTAACAGTATATTTTCTCCTGCATCACAGACATTTCTACAGACCCTCTTGACTGATGCTGCATGCTGAACAGGAAAATATGTGAGGTGTTCTCAACCAATACGAAATCCTAAATTCTTATTTTCCCATACTCTGCATGTGCTTAATGGGTTTTTTAAAAATTAATTCCCTACTGCACACACTTATGCCTAACGCATGCGATAAATGTTTGTCTCATGTACTTCACCAAGCTCACCCTTGAAATCTAATTCAATAGTGAAGTCCAGATCTCTGTTATTACGAGCATTTGGTTTCATTGAAAAAACCCCATATATCTCCTCATTTTTCTTCACTGTTAGATAATCATCGAAGTAAAACACAGTCTGTTTCCAGTGTGTATATGGTGCTTCAGGTGCTGTGCTGAACCCAACTCTTTTGTGACATTTGGTGAACTCAATGTTGAAGAAGGTGACAAGTGCTTGAATGTAGTCATTACGACGTACTTGAAGATGGAATGGCGCCGTGAAATTAAGATCTTCCTTTGTTACAGTGTACAGATCAACTTCTTTCAACAAACATGCATTTGTGACCACCTGAAAAGTTTTACAAAACAAGACTTGAGCATGAGAAATGAGTTTCCTTTCTTCTTCACACCCCCAATTTAAACTTCTGAATGGGAACAGTGTACTGTCTTTAGTAGTTTTACACATAATGTTTCATAGTACTCAAATGATAATTCACATTCATACATCAAAATATGTGATCTGTTAATGTTTCATAAATGTTCATATAATTCAAACATCTTATAAGATCAAACTAAGTGTGAATTCAGTTTTACTTGGTATCCATTTACAATACGAGGGTATTTCCATAGGCTGAACATACCTGCTTTGGATCCACCACATCAACTAGGGGTTCACTGATTGCCACTCGTCTAATGGAACTCATGTCGAAGCCATATACATCGTCCCACCAGTTGATTTTCTCATCCTTATACTGTCGGTCTTCAATTCCAGTCACAAAAAGAGTAGCTCTATCAGGAAACAGCAAACCATCAGGGCGAAGCCACTTGTCCCTGGCAAACAGTACAGTGTCTAACATTGACTCGTAGAACAGGCAGTAACCCATCCATTCTGAGATGATTATGTCAACACTATCCAGACCATGAGGTAATTCCACCTCTTCCACTTTTCCTTTCACGATAGTCACCACGTCACTCAGCTGATTAGCTTCTACTATCTGCTTGGCATACTCCACTATATTGGAACATTCTATTCCAATGACACGAGCTGCTCCTGCTTTAGCAGCAAACATGGACAGAATGCCTGTTCCACAGCCTATGTCCAGAACAATTTTTTCCTGTTAAGAAAACTTTTATTTTAGAACATCACATTTCTATGGGAAAATGGATTCCAGTGCCAAGGAAAGCCTTAAAATGAGGGTATGTTACATGAACACAATGGGTATGGGACCAAAGAAACTGGTCATGAACTTTAATAACTTCACATTAGGAAACAATGAATGGGTATTCCCCATTCAAGTAGAATACTGACTGTGACTTTTGTAAATCTGAATACATGTATAAGCTTATTTCCCACAGGCAAGCAGATTTTTCACCTTAATTTCACAGTGTATTTAACTGCTGTGAAAAGAACCTTTGAAACAGACTGCCAAAATTAGCTCTATACAGTGAAAATACCTTGAGTTTACAATCACATGAACAGTAAGATACTCATTTTAGCTATTTCTGTTTCAAATTGTTTCATATTTCTATACAAAAACTCTTTCCATCTCAGCCACTTTGTCTTCAATAAATGTGATATGACATGTAAAGCGTTTTTCCTTAAATAAGATTGAAATACTGTAAAATAATTGTTAATTTTCTGCAATTTACAGAAATCCCAAATAACAATTAAACGCTGTCATTTCATAACCAGTTCTTTGCTGGGTCAATTTTCAATTCATGGCTAAAATATGGTCATGTGGGTTCTCGTCCTATCATGTGACTGCTGGATTACATCTGGCACTGATTAAGTTCTTAACTGATAATTGTTTAAACATATTATGAAAATGGAGTACTGTAGACAGACATAATATAGCACTTCTGTCCAATAATAAATATAAATCTGTTTCAAATATCACTTAAGCTACGGTGGTATGGTTTTGTGGTAAAGAAAAAGCAGAGGTACACAATGATACAGTTACTTTATCTTTACAGTAAAATTATTAAAACTTCCTCATAAATCAAACAAACCTTAAACAAATGTTTATTGTGATACATGGAATTCCTGTAGGTGAGTGTCCGGACCTCATCTTTCAGCATTTCTTCATGTATTCCAAAATGAGCATAAGAGTCAAAATAATAATCTCTTGACGTCATTTCATCAACACTGACTTCTTTTCCAACTTTGTCGTTTACCATCTCCTTTATTGTAGGCATACTGTCAGAGGTGACATCCATATTTTCCATTTTGGTTCCCTAAACATGAGAAAATTATTTTCAAAATGTGCATTACATCGTTCTAACACCAGTTGTTGTGGGTTAGTGACAAAGGGTTTGGATTCATAGTTTAATTTATTGGATGCTTATTAACTACTCATAATTACAACATTTATTACTATTATCATTATTATTATTATTCACAAAATACGAATAACTACAGCACATTCCAAGTCTTTCTGGTGTGCCGCACCTGCATGTACTTGTTGCCTTGTTATGGACTCCAATAACCAGGACTCTCCCTAATACTTCCATGCTTGATGGCTCCCGCTTCAGCTCTCACTGGGTATCCTTATACAACTTTGACAGAAAAACTGTTATGTGCATATTCATTGCCACAGGAACTTGTTTTAACAAGCAGCTCCAATAGTTGCCCTTTTACTTTGGGCTATGTCCAGCCTTCATTATTTGTAGATTTGGTCTCATACTGCTGTCATTCAAGTGTTCCCTCCTTAAGGCTGTGTTCCATCCACCACAGTCCTCTAGGAGGTGTGCTTCCACTGCCAGCTGTCTCCAGCCATCCTCTGGGGGTTCAACAGGCATTCTCTCACTCTACATACTGCATCTTGGTGAGCAGCCCTGTAACCAAGTCCTGTAAGGCGAGTCTCCAGGGGGCCTTAGTCACATCGTCACAACTCTACTACAGTCACTACCACCTCACTGTTTCTCTTCACACAGAGGAGTGAATGGCCACACCCCCAGGTCCCACAATGGTGCTTCACTGCCCAGTCACAGCACACAGCACCCCAAATCCACAGATGCACCATGGGTGAGTATAAACTCATCAGCAATCCTGATGACAAACACCGCACTGCTGTAGTGTCAACTCAAATAATGCTTCCTTCAAGATGGGGATGGTGTTCATGGTGCCATTTGCAGGATGTGTGGTCTGTTCAGCTCTCTCAGGCAGGCTTGCATTGATGACTGGTCTGGTGACTATCAACGATGCTCCAGTATCAGTGGATATGTCTTGTCCCCTATCCATCCTTCAGCATTTGGCTGTTACCATTCTTTGCAGACACTGAGTGGGTAATGAGAAGGGACAAGCGGTGGCACTAGAACCTTCTTTGTGTCTTCTACTCATCTCTCAGGTCTTGGCTGACCTCCTCCCAGGAAATCCTTCTGGGGGGATCCCTGTCAGTAGTCCCTTCTAAGATGGCTGTTGCCCCACACTGCCAGCATATGGGTTGCCTAGTTGTGCTACACTTGCAACCATGGTCCCAATGCCATTCTGGCCATTACCAAGCCCAGCCACTTATCTGACCATTATCCAGCATCTTCCCAATGGCCTCATGTCTTGCCCAGGCTTTGTCTTATGCCAGTTGTATTCTGAGATCTCTCCTTGTCCCTTGTATCTCATTGCCAAATCCCTCATCAGGATCCTAAGCAGACCAGAAGGCACTTACTGTGGCTCTCCATCTCCTCATGGCAATCTGGCTCTCTTGGTCAGCCATTATCTTCTTGTGGATGGCCCTCATCATGCCCATCCCTCATTTCCTTTAGTAGGCATTCAAACTTATCCATTTCTGCAAGCCCTGACACCAGCTGTAATGGGTTAGTGACTCAACTTACAGTTCAGATTGATAACCGAATTTAATGGATATTTATTACTCTTTAATTACTAATAATTACAACACTTATTATTCCCAATCAACAAATAACTACAGCACATTCCAAATCCTTCTGGTCTATTCAATCTTCACATATCCATTGCCCAGTTACAGCCTCCAATAAACACGACTCTCCCTGATACTTCCACGCCTGACAGCCCATGGCCTCAACGGCTCTTGCTTTGACACACTGGCTCTCCTTACATAGCTTTCATGCAGACCCACTGTCACGTGCATATTCAATGCCGCAGTAACATGTTTTAACAAACCATTCCATAGCAAAGGATGCCTCTGCGACACTTCTCTAACCCAACAATTCTGACTTTTAGGCATCATGTCATAATATATTAAATCTCTAATACTTTGCTATCTACTCTAAGTAGCAGGCACATAAAACTCTGTATGCACATCAAAGCCAAAGAATGGCTGCAGTAAAAAAATTAAATTACATTCATTTCCTTAACCATGGATGGTTGAGAAGTTACAATACTACTCCATTAAAAGTAAAGCAATCCCTGTAGCAGGCCATGAAGGCCCATAGGGTTGCGAGATGTTAAGGGTCCCACATTACCTTGATAATTGGCTCAAAGATGGCGGTAAGGTTGTCAGCCTTACGCGCCGGCCGCGCTTCACTCCCCAGGAAAATTACCAAAATTAATTTAAAATGGCATATAGATTAGAAGCTATTATAGACACAAAAGAAATATGTCCAGTAATGTAATAGGCCAGACCCAGGACACTGCACAAGGTGACAGCGGGAGAATTTATGTACAGTAAAACAGGGGCTGCTAACCCACCTCCCCAAACAGATGCAACACAGGAAATGAGTAGGACTGGAACACACACTATCTTTTCTCTGAATAGGGCAAAATGGTCTGCATACCACCGTTCCCCACACTAATTACTATACCACAATAAAAATTGTATGTAAAATATTGTACACATTTTACACATACATCGACCTGGGCATACATTTATGAAACCCCTATGTTATATGCACAATGTCAGGAACTGTTTACTTCATTAGGTAGGTGGAACACCGGCATCGACAGACCGTTTGAACAGTCTACATTACTTTCTTCACTGGCCAGAAATAAAGCAACGAGCTTTAAACCAAATACGACTGCCAGTGGTATAACGCATTCACGCATGTAACCGATTTTCCTCTATACAAAGAATATCATACACCACTGCTACTAGCAGAAGTTCGATCACACAATGAACGGCACGACTATAAAAAGGACATGATTGTTTTAAACTTTGGCACATTCTTTTTTGAGATTACATAATACTAAAAATATTTCGACAGTCAAACATAAGTTCACTGATTATATCTGAAACTGAAAAATCGTTCTGTTGGGCTAACACGTTCAAAAAGGTCATCATTTCGTCCAAAATTGGCACTTTACCGCGTGGTTTACACGTGTTTCAACTGCACCTGCATTTTACACCACAAAATACATCTCCAGGCCTATATAAATATTACACCGAATGGCTTCCAGATTTTTGTGTTATATGATTCAGTATAAAATCAACTTCACCTTTACAAACAATTTTCAGTATTTCTGTCAAACAAAGGTGCGATACCTTCTTCCTTCACAATGCTCCCAGTAACCCGCGCACTAACAGGCCAATTTCAACCGAAATGCGAGTCTACTACTCGTAAACTGAGCTCTTGATGTATAGCATCCCATGATTCCAACATTAACAACTGATTAATTTACGTACTACTTTACAAAACGAATAAATATTTACTATTTTCATACTTCGTTAGCTTTACTTACCGGTAACAGGATATCTTTTACACCTAGTTCATGATTTTCTAACGGCCTACCAACACTTGCCGCCATGTTTACCACCAGCAGACCAAAGCAGAAGGCGCAGTATTCGGCGCAAATTAATCATGAGTAATATTTACTGCATTTATACTATTAGAATTGTGCGTTATAGTATAATATCACCGCCCATTGTAGTTTTTACTTCTTACAAGTTATAAATGTCATTTATGTACATAATAAAATTAATGTAGCTTCTCATGAAGACCACATGACCAATAACCAATCAAGATTGAGGATCTCATGACAAGTTGTGTTTCGGGTTTTGGATTGAGCTTGCGATGGCAGGGAAGGAGGTCATGACGGCTTGTTTACGAAATTGGCAGATTGTTCAGTTATGAAGTGAAAATTAATTGATGTTGTGTTTGTACGATATTACCATCAGAGTATCAAGAAACAGGATAGACAGAAATGCTGGTATGTGTTTTTGACAGTTCTGTTTATAACGTAAGCATTAACTACTAGAAATTAAAATCGTCGGTTCTCGTCCGAAAGCCTCTGTTCTACCTTACTCCAGTATGATGCTTTGATATTATACCAGAGTTCAAAGTTGGATGTGTACACATTATTTAGTGCCGATTTTTCCCCTGGCTATACCTGTGCTATCTTATATTACAAGATAACATGTAACTAGTCATTTCGTTTTAATATGCTTGTGTCATTCATCCAGTTAGCATTTACGAAGACGAGTCTTGTCAGGAGTACGTGCATCAGACCGACAACATTGCTGTGTGCTCACATGATTAGGTTTGGAATGAAATTGTTGAAGTTGGTGCTAAAAGTGTGAAATTCATACCAGAAAAAGTAGAAAATATAATAAAGAATGTCGTTGATTTTCCAGTGATATTCATTAGAATGTGACCACTCATTAGTTATCGTTAAGCGTTTCATGTGCATATTGTGCATATCATTTATGACAGTCTACTCTTTAAAGATAGAAGAATTCAGAAATATTGTATTGTGTGTTTTGAAACTAGTACGTTGCCAAGTGTCTGTGTGAATATATTGTTATATGTGGAATGATAAATTTGGAGCATGAGGGTGGGATGTACACACCTGCCATGCTTTGTCTGCTTGTTCTTTATGTCTGTTGTTCCTCTTCTTTCCAGAGTATTAAATTAACTTTCTTGTGTGCAGCTGTCACTTTATTGTTCATGAAAATTTTTTTCCTGCTGCATTTCATACATTTCTTCCTCCTAGTCAAAGATGTTTTTTTTCTCTCTCAGATTTTCAGTCTGTGTTATGATTTTTCACTGTTGAATAACATATTTATAGCTCTGCAGTGCACATAACAGTTTAATTTCACTGTCTGTAGTCAGTCCCCATATACTGATTTACCAGCTTCCCCCATGTCCATAAGCATAAGCATAAGCATGGATGGGAATGGCTGCATATTCTGACAAGTAAAAGGTAAAGCTATCCCTGTAACAGGCCATGAAGGCCCATAGGGTTGTGAGACGTTGAGGGTCCCACGTTATCTAGACAGTCGGCTCAAAGATGGCGGTAAGGTTTACGTAAATGTATAAAACTTGGGTACACCATTTCTCTGTCCATCTGTATGTGCCTGTCTTTATGCACCCAAAAGTCAGTGTTAGTAGACGTAAGCCCTCTTATTGCTTTATTACATTTATGTGCACCCTAATATGAAAAAGACTGTAAAAGTAAAGTTGTCCCTGTGCTTAAACAAATTAAGCACTACACAATAAATAAATAAATAAATAAATGAATGAATCTATAAGGGGTGGCCTTCTTGGCTCTTGCACCATGACCACAGTGATCTATTGTGCCTACTACACCATGAAGGTATATGGGAGAGTGGTTGTATAGGTCCACGTTTTCTTGACCTCAGCTCTAGTTGGGGACAAGTGGTTGGCTCTTGCACCATGACCACAATGATCTATTGTGCCTACTAAACCATGAAGGTGTATGGGAGAGTGGTTGTATAGGTCCACGTTTTCTTGACCTCGGCTCTAGTTTGGGCAAGTGGTTAGCTTCATGCCTCGGCTGCTTTACCCCCAGGGAAAGAACCCCTGGTGCCCATTGTACAGGAAGCTGGATGGGTCCCAGAGCTGGTCTGGATGACATGGAGAAAAGAAAATTCTTGACCCTACCGGAACTCGAACTCTGACCCCTCAGTCGTCCAGGCAGTAGTCGGTTGCTGTACTGACTGTGCTATCCCATCTCCTATAAAAAGACTGACATTTTAAAATATTGTCATTCTCTGTATTAACAGGGACATTGCCAAAATTTTTCTGAGGAGGTGAGCCAAAAATAATTGCTGACAGACCTACATTATAGACAGTTCTTCTCATCATTCTAGTGTCCTCTGGATAGAAGAATGTTATTTTTAATATTAATTGTTTTCTTAGTATTTATGGTATTCCTGCCTTTCCAGTTCCAGATCCTACCAAAAATCTTGGGGTGGAGGACAAGGCTGATGTTCTGGTTCCATTCTTTTGTTTCAGTTTAGTGACTGTCACAAAGCGCCATATGTAAGAACTACTTAATGCAGCATTGGAGCAGGAAGAAGGGAATGATGGTAAGCATTTTGGTCTACAAATGTCTTATCAAACTGTCTAGTGTTCATATGCAGTCTGGGATGTGCTTTTGTGGGTATGGAATTATTGATCATTGAATGCCTTCTGTTGGGGGCACTATGCTACAAGTCGGAAGGTCATGGGTTCAAATCCTGATGAGGTCATTGGATTTTTTTCAATTGACCTAATCCTTCCGGCCGCACTATGGCCCTGGGGTTCACTCAGCCTCTAACAGAAATGAGTACCAGGTATTTAATAAATAATTTTCCTGGGGAGTAAAGCGCGGCCGGCGCGTAAGGCTAACAAACTTACCGCCATATTTGAGCCAATTGTCTAGATAATGTGGGACCCCCTAATGTCTCACAACCCTATGGGCCTTCATGGCCTGTTACAGGGATAGCTTAACTTACTTTTTATGCCTTCTGTTAGAAGACCAGCCATGTAACATTGCAAGTAGGTGATATAATGCTGTGTGAATGCTTTCTGTATGGTTTCCTTGCGAATTAGCTGTGCAAGATGGTTTTATTTTTTCTAGATGACAGTTGATTTTTTTAAGGAACAGAAATTGAATTTTTAAGAAATATCAGAAGGTGTACCAGATTAGGCAAAATTAAAATTGAAGCTATGCAAGAAAGGAAGGAACTGAATATTTTGTACTGCAAAAATGGATATTTGCAGATTAAATTTTTTGTCTGCCTTAACAGAATATCCAAGGAATATAGACACATATTGGCGCTATCTGTAGATAGCCATGAAGTCTGAATCAGCTTCTGCTTAATCCATCCACATTATGAAGCATTTCCTTAGGCACTGACTGTATCACCAGCAGATTTTTACCAAAATGAGGCGGCCCTATAGTTACTGCACATGTCGGTGCTGGTTAAAAATGTCTCCAGGAGATGTCAATGTAATGTGTGTATCCTAAGAGGCCATTCTAGAGGAAAGAGGGCAGTTGAAACTTGTTGAGGCACTAAGATTAGTGAACACTTCCTTCGCACACTTATATCTTGATTATAACAGAACTATTTCACAGTACTGCATATATGCACTTATGGATGTGAATGGGTTGGTCTTTGGAGAGCCAAAGATAATGGAACTTAGAATTTTACGTTTTACTTGAAATCCTAGCAGTGTGCTGTGTTCCATATTTCCATTTCTTATATTTTATGAACATTTGTTTTCAGCAACAGGCTGGCACTATTGCCCGAACATTTTTTTTGTTGCTAATGGGGTGGTACTAAGTCCCTTGTACTGCGGCCACTTCTGGCCTATTGTACCAGCACCAGATGATAGGTGAGGGTGATTGTGGAGCAATTGGTGGAATGAAGATTGGCAGGGGAAACCGAAGTACTCGGAGAAAACCTGCCCCAGCACCACTTTGTCCACCACAAATCCCACTTGACCAGACCCAGGCTCGAACCAGGGCCACCACGATGGGAAGCCAGCAACTAACCGCTTGAGCTATGGCACATCCCCTGATCATGGTTGCCACTTTATAGTATTCATGATCCCTGTTGTTTGAAACACAGTAATTGTATTCATAAGGCTTATATAGGCATGCAGCCTCCGATTTGTGTCAGAAATATAATCATTAGGGAATATGTAAACTGAGTAAAAAGGTGGGACATTGACTTGGCTGTAGAGGCTATGTAAAAGTGTTGATTGACATAAATTGGTGAGGATGAGGGAATAGCAGTTGTACTGGCCCATACATGACAAAGGACAATGGGTCATGCTGCTAGCGGAAACTGCGGAACTGCTATGTGGTCATTGAACATACATGCATTGAAAATTAGTGTTCAAACGTTTTTGTGAAAGTAGTGAATTTTATTCAGAATTTTTGATAATTTGATGAGAATTCCAGGTGGTTTGGTACCAGATAGGTGGACGTGTACTGTGTATGGAGTTAGTTGAGAGGATAGCTGTGAATTTTGAACTGGGAAGGATGTAAGAGGCAGTGATTGTGACTTATTTGAAAATATAATTTGGGCATTATCATGAAGAGACTGAAGAAACCCAAAAGATACTTGTGGTATCTGGCTTCTGGGCTCAGAAGCCAACCCAGGCTCTCCTGAATTTGAAACTGCATGCCACAATGTTGTGGAATGTGTGGATTTGGCTATATACTTTTACACTAAGGCCTGAAAGAGCATATGAACACTATTCAGTTATTCAGTATAGAGGGGGTGGGTTTCCCCGTGCACTGCGACTAATAGTCTATTGTACGTCCCCCTTTAATTTCTACTGTCGCCATACCCTACCAATACTCCCCTTTCTGCCAGCGAGGTCGGCCCTCTACTGGCAGTGGTACCCGATTACTCTCCCCTTTCTGCCAGCGAGGTCAGCCCTCTACTGGCATTGGTACCCGATAACTTCCCCATTTACCGGAGGCATTGGAAACTACTTGGGTGGGAGACTTTTTGCCTAATTTTGCTCAGAGGTGTCCTAGAGACATGAGGATCCTTTACGTGCCGTAAATCTACGACACGGGACCCACGGCTTAAAAGTCCCTCCCGGAGGACGTGTTCCCTGAATTTTTCCGCCCTTAAAATTCCACGACCTCCATCGGGTTTGAACCCGTGTAACTTGAGTCATGAGGTGGGAATGTTACCCCTAGACTACGGAGGCCGCAATATGAATGCTAAGTCAGATATGAAAATGCCTGTATTTAATTTTTGCAGGGAGATGACCCACCTTACCTTGCAGTTGGCACTGAGGTTAGTGCTAAATATAAAGGAGCATTCTGCGAAGCCAAGGTGCGAAAGGTGATCAGAAGCGTCAAGTGTAAGGTATGTACAACAGCTTATAAGTTGTGCCTATGTTGACTGTTATAAAAGAAGCCTCTTAAGTCAGAGGTACAATGAGCCAAAGCTGCCAGCTGCCCTGTTGGTTTGTAACATTCAGTTGATTTGTGTACTTCAAATTAAATGTGTTATACAAAAGTACCCAGTGTAACTGAAGTAATTCTTTATAACATTAATTAGCATGCATGTTGTATTATTTGGTTCTGTTGTCAGAGTGTCGCTTTTACGTACATCCCCTGTTTATTATTTAAGTATGTGAGAAAAGCATTGCTCTTACCTGGTGCAGGTTCTACATGAACACTGAAATAATGTGTCAGATAATTTGTCAGCACTGCATTCTTTATATTAAGATATGGTATTCCTGTTTGTATTGACATGGGGATGGGGGCAACATTAGTCACTCTAAGCACTCAGACTACTCCATTGTGCAACCCCCCCCCATCATTTTATATCCCTACAGAGGGCCTATAATTCTAGAGCCGGAACCATCTTGATTGAGGCCCTCCTGATGTCTCTCTGCTCTAATGATGTAGGCCCAAAAATCTCAAATCTCTGCCTAGCCAAAGTAAGGAATTGGTGTGGTAGAAGAATTTCATCTCCTGTCCACTTTTCCTGCATGTGGTGCTTTCTGAGAGGCCTGCAAAAATTAGGCGCAGCTTCAGTGTACATTGGCCAGCCAGCAGTCTTGTTTCCACCTCGTATTGTTTCTTATCAAACGCTAGTGGATTTCCAGATAGTTTATCTGAAGGCCTTTCAGTGAGGAGCTTCGACTGTATTATGCCTAGCGTGTTGAGATGGTGAGGGAGATTCTTATGACAGCTGGCAGTGATGGTACTTGTACTGCACATTAACTTGGTAGTGTCAGTTTGAGATTTCTGTTTATAAAAAGTGCTTCAGATAGGAAGTGCTCTTAGTACATATATTTGCAAGAAATGAGATACGATTTATATGTGAAGTGCAAGGGTATCAGATTCATGATGGAAAGCCTTACAGGGGCAGATTTTCGTATTACAATTTTCCAGTTGTAACACATTCCTTCATCTTTCATCATTGCAAGATATTTTAGATTGAATAGTAAATTTCACGTTGACTCACTTGAGTGGTTATTTTTAACTTGTATTATTCTCATGTGTCCGGGGTGCCATGATTCATAATAACAGGTTCTGGATTGAGTGATTAGATTTATTACCACCTTCTTTTACAATTACTCTTATTCACAATAAATTGCAGCAGCTCACAATCAGTGACAGCCTAAGACTCGCTCTATTCTGGCTGGAGTACGACTGTCTTTGTCTTCTAGTCTTCTACTGTGACTGACTTTGTACAGAGTTACGAATGACTTCTCATGTATGAATGGATCACGAGTGACTCTTCATGTATAACTGCATGAATTCTTATCCGAACAGCCGCTTATATAGTCTAAGGCTTATCCGTTGAAAATGTTTGTTGTTTCTGCAACAACAGTCTGGTTTCCAAGAGAAACCCCGTAAAAGACCTCAGCCAAGATAGTCACATTTCCACTGCACAGTAAACCCGTTTCCATGGCAACAAACTTGTGACACCATAACAGGGAAGTGTGTGGCTTGTGCCGAGGCTATATAACGCATCAATGATGAGTTGAAACCGGACATTTGGAGCCATGGGCTAGGTGCGAGACATTCGCCAGCCAATGAGGATAGGAGCCGTTGAACATGGAAAATGAGGAATCTACATTGTTGGGAGCCATAACCTAGCTGCTGCTAGTGAAGATAAACTGGGACAACTTAGTGTGTGTTAGTTTGTGCTGTAGTGAGAAGTTAAGTGCATGAATTAATAATTAGTGAGAGTGCTTTATAATATGCCATTAGGAAGGTCCAGGAAAACCAAGTGGGACTGAAATTAAATGGGACACATCAGCTGTTGGTCTATGCTGATGATGTGAATCTGTTGGGTGATAATATACATAGATACCTTCAATTTCTACCTAATATACCTACCTACCTAATTTCTAATATCTACCTATGTAGATACCTCGTATCTTTAATTGATACAAACTTTAATTGACGCTAGTAAGGAGATTGGTCTAGAAGTAAACACAGAGAAAACTAAGTATATGTTGCTGCCTCGTCACCAAAATGCAGGGTAATATCAGGACATAAAGATAGGTAGCAGATGTTTTGAAAATGTGGCACAGTTCAGATTTTTGGGAAGGACAGGAACAAACTAAAATTTGATTCCAGAGGAAATTAAGAGGAGACTGAATTCGGGTAATGTACCGAAAACGATGTGATGCTGGAGCATGCAACCAGAGATGATAGCCACATCCATGCATTTTAACAAATCTTCTGTCATATGCCTGTTTTTAATAATGTGTTAGTGGGAAGCCATGAACAGTTACATTGAAGTGTCACTGAATGAGGGATCATGTCTTACGTATACCCATTTACGTGTTCCTTCAGTTTAGCATCGACTGCAGACTATTTAAGACTGGTGGCAGTAGTTCAGCAGCATGGTTGTTTGCACTGAGACTGTTTAAAGATTTGAGGTTCTTACAGCATTGACCATGATACAGACTATCTGAGATTATCTGGCTGCCGAGCAGAAAGTGAGGATTTTTGAGATGTGTAAGCTTAAATATACCAGACATTCGTTGCGAGTATTCTAAATTATAGGAGCTCAAACTTGTGCTTAACATTGTTGTGCAAGTCCCATGTGCATATGATTCAGAATTTCTCCTGTAAAGATACAGTGGGCATGTTTATCCAAAATATAGTTGACCCCGTACAAGACTAACTGATGTCATAACACAGAAGACCACAGTGTGAATGGCTGTATAAAAGCATACAACATTGGCTGATTCAGTACACTGCAGTTCTGTTAACTGTGCATTATCTGGGAGCTTTTTGTGCCACTCTCAATATTCTATTACAGGATTACTATTCAATATGTTTTGGGTTCGGTTCTGACTGTTGCTGCTGGTAGCAAAAATGGAAAAGAAATTGTCAGTGTAAAACATCTTTGAGGGTGTGTCACAATTTGATATGCAACAGTGCCGAAGAAAAATCCTGTATATTCAATGAAATCTTGCATGGTAATTTTGTTTCTCATATCAAGATGTAGTAGCTTTCCGATGATGTAAGAGTCTACGTCACTTTCAGTGATATTTAATGTTCTCATGGTAGTGACTGTAAAGAGTTGTATTTTCTGAAATATGAAGCAGTGACGTTAGTAGAAGTTATCTGACATTTCAGGGGGGCATATCTTCTACCCACTGCCAGCTTCATTCTGGCTTCTTGTTTGGCTTACTCTTCTCAGAAGCTGTAGGAGATATGTTCCTCTGAAACATCAGTTGACTTTCAGTTAACTATATGGTGTATCCTGAATGATAAGCGGCCTCCGTAGTCTAGGGGTAATGTTCCCACATCATGACTCAAGGTATGCGGGTTCAAACCCAGCGGAGGTCGTGGAATTTTTAAGGGCGGAAAAATTCAGGGAACAAGTCCTCTGGGAGGGACTTTAAGCTGTGGGTCCCGTGTCGTAGATTTACGGCATGTAAAAGATCCTCATGTCTCTAGGAGACCTCTGAGCAAAATTAGGTAAAAAGTTTCCCGCCCACGTAGTTTCCAATGCCTCCGATAGATGGGGGAAGTATCGGGTACCTCTGCCAGTAGAGGGGACGAACTCGCTGGCTGAACGGGGCTGATAGCATGCACAAGTATCGGAAGGGTATGGCGACTGGTAGAATATCAAAGGGGGACGTACAATAGATCAACAACTGGTTGCGGTGCATGGGGAAACCCACCCCCTCTAATAATGAATGACTGAATGAATGAATCCTGAATGATAGAACACTTCACATTACTGCCTGATGACACTCTCAAAGACGTTTTAGACACAGTCTTTCAGTCAGTCACCAGAAGACAAGAGTAGAACCATCTCTTAAGACACCATGTAAATGTTGTCACAAGTCAGCGACTAAATGTAGAGTTTGGATTGATAATTCAGTTTATTTAATGCTTAGGACCCTCAGCTACAACTGATTATATCACTCACTAACCTACACATTTTACATATCACTACAGCACAAACTAAGAGTGCTTGCTCTGTTATTGTCTTCATTAGTCATTGCTAGGTAGTGGTTTCTAACAATGGAGATTCCTTTCCTCACAGTAAGTAACAAACTGTGAGTACTGACGACTGACACACTATGGTCTGGTTGGGGAAAATTGCTGCTGGACCTCGCCAGCACGGTCATTACTGGTTCCCTGTCCCACCAGGCTAATGAGCATATTTTTCTATCTCACGACTCTGCGAGCCGTGCAACTTACAGTAGCTTAGCATAGCAGAGCAGCAAGGTGCTGCTGGTGCTCACAACCACAGCTATTCTTGGCTTTAGGTTCCATCAGGATTCATAACCAAATTGTTGTTTGTCACAAGACCATTTGTGTGTTTGAAAATGGGGCCTCTTTGAGGAGAAGAGGGCTTGGTTTTTCTGAGTAGGCGCCACATCTATTGCTAACAGTCGCTCCCCCCCCCATCCCGCAGTCCAGTAAATTGCGCCTGGCGTTCCCCAGCACAGTCGTTCCTGGGTTCGGGACCCATGACCATATTTTTGTTCTTGCCAGAATTTTACTTGTTTTGAAATGGGGCTTCCTCTTCGACCAGAAGAGGGGTGTGACAGCCACTCACTCCCCCTTCTACTGGAGTGTGGCTTTTCTGACTGTCTCATTCACTCGTTCACTCTTACTCCCTGAGCATCAAACGAAATTTAAAGTTTTGGCCTTAATGAGTTATAGGTGAATTGCTTTCGCTGTGTTAATGTTAGGGGGGGCAACAGAATTGCAGTAAGGCCCAGTGTGGGGCAACATAATGGAAAATTTTACATCGTGCAGAGAAACTAACTGGAAGTAACACCCCCTGCTACCAATAGTCTGTTGTTAGTGCCAGATGGACTGTGAGTCCTTATGAAACGCTGTTCTTCGTCCCTTTGTATTCCTTAATCTTTG